TATCTCTTACTCCCCCCGTCAAGACTCGCCGATCATCTCTCTTCGTCACCGTTCCTAGTCTCGTCGCTCCCTCAGTTCTCAAACTTTCAGCTGCCCGACAATTGGTACGTTTTTCTTTCATCTCCTTCCTTCTAAATCTCTCTCGAATTTCAACTCCCCTTCCACTCGTGATCTTCGAACTCCTTTTCTCGATGTTCTTTTCTCTTCGATTCTTTGCTGCTGCATCCATATATTTATTGATTTTTAATTGTATTTCCTTCCGATCAACTTCTACTTTTATAATCTGCAAATCCTCAACAGGGTAGCGCCAATTCAACAGATCGAATAATCTTTGATTGCGAATCCAAGAACACATAGGGCTGTGCGTGGAATCTGTTTCGTCCCGAGATAGACATGAACGCCAGAAGGTTTTTCTTGAATCTTTCAATCTTTATCTTAGTTCTGCAGGCCATTTAAGTATCTTTCCTATCGATCAAACCACGCGTGACGCCAGTTACTTGTTTGTGTGAAATTTACATTTACGATTCAATGTTGTGTTGCTATATTATTGGCTACTAGATCTCGATAGACCGATAGCTCGATAAATCTGAGTCCGTATCTGGTAGAAGGGTTCAATGAGTAATTCCAAGTTTTGGGACTTTACTTCTATTATTAGAATTGAATTCTCTTGAGGAATGTTTCAGTCCAGATGCATTAGAACGTTGCAACATCTGAAGTGTACTCTTTTACTTCATTTTTCTGCCGTATACCTTTTATTAGCAGGTGATTTTAGAATGACCACATTGATTCTATAGGGCTTGGGTTTTTAATCACTTTTAAGCATTCTTCGTTCTGTTTAAGATTCTTCATACTGATATAGTCGTGAAATAAAAGATCTCTATTCTATAGATTGGTAACTTTTGCCCCTTTATGTTATGCTATGGCTTTCTATGCGTGTACTTGTATAAGTCGTACTGTTAAGTGATTTAACATTAACAACTTATATCGTTTTGGATAATTGTCTACTAGTCCAGAATTATCGGGATGTACTCAATTATCGAAGATAAGTCATGGTGAAATGTTTATGGTGGAAATAAACTTTGTTTCTTATATTTTAATTGATCTTTGCAATGAGTGTGGACATTTTCTGATTTTTGAATCTTTAGTTCTCAATTCTTTGTTAAACTTTAGTCAAAATACAATTTACTTTCCCTCGTGCACTTATATGCACATGCACCCTTGATAGTTGAATGGAAGTTCTTAAATTCATTTTTTTAATCACAAACTGAAGAATGTATTTTTCAGTACCAAGTTGATTTTTATGAACTGAACCTTAGGTTGATCTTGCTATGTGCTGGTCGTTCTTCTTGTAATAGTATCTCTTGGAGTGCAGGGAACTACGTAACAATAGGGTTTCTCTCTTTGATGGCATTGAGGAGGGTGGTGTTAGGGCCTCATCTTCATACTCCTCCCATGAAATTGAGGAACAGGATAATGAAACAGCATTGGAAGGCTTGCAAGACAGAGTCCTTCTATTGAAAAGGGTATTTAATTGCTTACCCAGTCTTAGTCACTAATCTTTGATGATTGATTCGGTAGAAACAGAGAAAGAATTCCGCACCTATAACATTATGCAATAATTGTTGAGACCAAGTTCTTCACCTACAATTTGCTGCAATTATTGTCGAGAATCAACTCTGCACGTAGAATATGTTGCAATTATTGTGAACAAATTATGCATCTATAATATGCTGCAATTTATTTTTGAGAACCTAGAGGATGAAAATACTTTCCAATTTGTGATTGTATATTGTTCAAGAAAAACACACGAGGGATTATTACTCAATATATATGATTGATAGAAAACATAAACTATGCTATTTTTGAAGCAAAGAAATGGTAATGATGGCCGAGAACGATATATTCTGTTTCCTGGATCGCATTCAAATTGAAAGTGTTATTTCAACAGTTGACAGGTGACATAAATGAGGAGGTGGAGAGTCATAACCGCATGCTGGATAGGATGGTATTATGTCAACTCAAGTGTCTTACGCAGTTCTTAGTGTTATTATCAACTGAGAACTAATTTCTTGCATGTTTTGGTTCAGGGTAATGATATGGATTCATCAAGGGGAGTGTTGTCGGGCACTATGGATCGATTCAAGACGGTATTGCCATATTTACAAGAACAATTCATTCCACACTTTCGACACTCCTTTTCATCGTTTTTGACATTAATTTTTATGTTTAGGTATTTGATCCGAAGTCGAGCCCGAAGATGTTCTCGCTAGTCGTACTTTTCGTGGCAATTTTCTTCATTGTGTACTATCTCACAAGGTAATTCTTCCATTTGGATATCATCAAAAGAAGTCGAGCTTGGGCTCTGGATGGAAGACAATGATCAGCACTGCTGCTTAGTTCTATGAGAGTATTAGTTGTAACATTGGCATAGCTGTTATGTTGATGCCTGTGTGAATATGTTTTCCTTGTGTACCAAAATTGAAGTTGGAAAGAGTTTGGAACCAAAATATCATCTGCAGCTCTCCATCAAGCTGACATTGATGAATATAATCAGCAAGCCAGTTTGTTACACCAGAGTTTTATCTGCCTTCCCTGATTAGATAGATATCCTGACGACATGATATTCCATTTGATTGAACCTAAATTACCATTTTATTGATCTCAAACAAGTCGTGACGTTCAGAAGTGTGCTGGGTCATACAAGGGTTGGGATGTAATTTCAGAAAAGATGGAGTGGTCTGAAGAGAGAGTAAAATAAAGTTGATATTTTTTTTTTTGAAAAAAAAAAGAAAAAAAAGAAAGTAGTTTCCATCATGAACTTATAATTTCATCAATTTTGACTATGTATTTAGGTAAGATTTTTATTTAATTTTTCTGTCGAATTCATCCACTAATTTTAATACAAAAATAATTTCATAAAACTCAAAATCCCAATATTCAGTAATTTCAGGAAGATTAAAGTTTACTCGAAACTAGTGCTCAAAATCAACCATTTTAATTAACAACTTGCAAATTTCAGGATTAAAAATTGATATTTTCCAATATTTTTTAATATTATAAGTGACGGTTTGTTGAAGTACAAGTAGCGAAGGAGTGAGTTACTTCATGATAAATACCTGCACAGCCGGTTTCATGTGACTATTTTACAAGATATTTTTATTAACTAAAATTAAAAAACATGTGCACCAGCCGGGAATCGAACCCGGGTCTGTACCGTGGCAGGGTACTATTCTACCACTAGACCACTGGTGCTTGTTTGTTGCTTGTTTCGATAAAAAAAAAAATTATTTAAATTTAATTTGTTGCAATTTAAAACCATAAATGTTTAAAAAATGCATAAATATACTAAGTGTTTCTCTTTTATCGATTAATTTTGTTATCTAAAATTTAACATGAATTTGAATATATATATATATATATATATAATTATTTGAGATAAATAGTAACTAGTTGTTAGCTTTATTCTCAGGTTTTCACAATCATAACGCATAGTTAATTTATTTTTTGAAACAAATAATTAATAAAAAAATTAACATAAATAATCACTATGGGTGAAAATTAAATAGGAATTTGTATAAAAATGTGTCATTAATTATTAGTGTGTCTAGTAATTAATTTGTATTTATTATGTATTTCTTCGAGAATTTGCAACAACATCGGCACGCCCACCACATGCAATCATCCATTAAAATGCTCTCTATCTCTCTAATTACTTCTATTTTACAAAATCTACATTTTTCTTTATAAAAATAATAATCATGTCACGTAGGAGCCTTTAGATGCAAACCAACTTTACCCCCCCCCCCCCCC